CACCAGATGGTTGGAGAAAAAATAAAATATTTGGGTGCTTCAGGTCAACATTTCCAAAAGAAAAACACTCCGAGACAGGATTCTAAATCATCTTTAAACAAAATAATCCAATTTAGAACAAAGTGAGGGGAGGAAATAAGGACAGACATTCCTAATGAGGCTAAGATCATAAAATCTAGGATAACTGGGGAGGGTAACTAGGGAGAAAAGAACACAGAGCCTGTGACATTTAGGGAAGGAAAGTGTGTGAAATGAGCAGAGAGAGAAGAGCTGCATTCCCCCAAAACACTCAACTTTGATCCAAAAAGTCAGCAGGTCCAAAGGATTAGTCACGAGGTGATGACTGAAACACCCTGGTTCAGATACTAGGTCAGCCCAGAGGACTCACCACAGAACTAGTTAATGAAGTTCAGCTAGAACAGGGAGTTTCAAGCCTTTTCGACCATGACCCACATAAAGAAAGAGATTTGTCATCATGATGCAGGAACCTCATACCAAAATAAACACATACACATGTAATAGAAAACTAAAACCCAAATTTTCCTGAACAATGCACTCTGATATTTTCTATTCTGTTTCTTCTTCTTTTTTTAAAATGTTTACCAGGTCTTGACCCACAATCTGAAAACACACTGGGCTAGAAGGCCAAGAGCAAGCTGGGGAGCAGGGCCGGCCGCACAAACAGGGTAAGAGGAGCTCGTGCATGTGTGTGGTCCGTTCACTGCCCTGTGGGGCTCTCGCAGAGCGGAAGCAGGGCATCCAGCATTGGAAACATTGCCCATACACACTACACCCCTCCTACTAAATCATACTTCAACCTCCTCCACCCCAAGCCCCTTAACAACAGAAGGCTGCCTGTCCTCTGCACATGAGCCTGACAGGGAAGCTGAGCTGTAAATATCAGGGCTTTGCTGCATCAACTTTCATATCACAAAGCAAGGAGCCAAACTTCCTCGCTAGAGTTTCCAAATAAGTCCCTGAAAGGATGGTTCAGGTACAAAATCAAATTCCACTTGGTGCTTAAATTCCTCAGAATTCAAGGCTGCCAAACTGCCTTGTGTTTCTTTGCAATTCCTTGTAAATAATCTTCCTGGGCTCAGTCTCTCTTTATAGACTAAACAATTCAATTGCAAACTCCTCCCCCATGCTTTTTTATTGTTTTCCATTGAAAAGCTCAGAAAAAAGTCATGAAAAATTTTCCCTATTTTGAAGTTTCTATAAATATTTTACACTCAGTTGGATTTCTTGTGGACTTTCCATCCAGGAGCAGAAAAGCTACCAATCACTTTCAGATATTTAGCCTGGATGAAAAAAAAGCCTGTAAAGAATTTGTGTTCAGGAGGGTCAGCCCCAAGAGTGAAAAAGGTGGGGAATACAGGTGCTGGCAATTGTCCCAGGGCACCGGCAAACACAGCGACGAATGAATTAGAGGGGGCAGAAACGTGTCAGGAGTGTCAAAACTTGAATGTAAGTGAGCAGAAAACACCCTGAAGAGTCGGTATCTACACATCAAGCTGTGGAAAACATCCTTGGAAGGATTCATGGTTCTAACACCTGGGAACAGATGGCAGGTAGGTGAAAAGATGCACAAAATCAGGTCACACAGGTAGGAAAGAGGAGGAAAGAGGCAGGCAAATGTCATCTTTGAATACATGCTCTGACTCTGTACAAAAGAAATCTCTATAAACTTCACCATGGTTTTCAACTGCAATTTAAAAACCACAAAAGGGAATTCGATTAAATGAAATCAAATTTAAAGAAAATATTTATTGATTACGTACAAGGTCTTAGGCTAGATGTAGTGTGTCTTAGAAGGTTAGGAAAGAATGATGGACAGAAGTAGGGGAGAGAACTAAGCTGGTGGAGAAACATCCACATCTAATTACAATGCGGCAGAATGAAGAAAGCACTGTTGCAGGAGTTGAAACCAAAGGAGAGGGTCCAATAGACAAGGCTGTCCAGTAGGGCTGCACCTCAGGGCATATGACAAGAAAGATGAAGGGCCTCAGACTCATTCTGCCCCTCACTGCCTCCCAAACCCAAACAATACCAAGAGGTCTTTGGGGTCTGGCTTCTTTAACTGAGCGTAACGTTTCTGGGGTTTCAACCGTGTCTTAGGCAGGATCAGTGCCACGTTCTCTCGTGCTACTGAGTAGTGTTCCACAGTATAGATACACCATATTTTGTTTATCCCCTCACCAGTAATGGGCATTTGGGTTTCCACTTTGGGGCGATCATGAATAACACTGCTACCAACATTCATTCACGAGTCTTCTTGTGGACATACGTTTCATTTCTCTTGGGTAACACCTAGAAGTGGAACTGCTGGGTCATCAAGCAAATTTGTGTTTAACTTTTTTTTTTTTGTGGTACGCGGGCCTCTCACTGCTGTGGCCTCTCCCGTTGCAGAGCACAGGCTCCGGACGCGCAGGCTCAGCGGCCATGGCTCACGGGCCCAGCCGCTCCGCGGCATGTGGGATCTTCCCAGACCGGGGCACCAATCCGTGTTCCCTGCATCAGCAGGAGGACTCCCAACCACTGTGCCGCCAGGGAAGCCCCTGTGTTTAACTTTTGAAGCAACTGGTTAACCAGTATCCAAAGAGGCTGCCCCATTTTACACTCCCACCAGTAATGCATGAGTTCCCACATCCTCTCCAACACTTATGTTGATTATAGGCAAACTATTGGCTCTGAAGTGGTATCTCAATGTGGTTTGAATTTGTGTTTGCCTGATGACTAAGGAGTGTCCTTTACTGCACTCTGGATTTCACATCCTTAGCAACTGGCATTTAACAACTACTGATTTTGTCCTGTCAGTAGAGAAAAATGTTCAAGTCCCTTCCATCTTAAAAACAAAAGCCAAACAGCCCTCATGTCTATAAAAGGTGATCTATATGGTTTCCACTTTGTTACAGTCACCTCTTTGTAGCATTCGACTAATAGAACAGTTGTTTTTCTTAAAGAAAAGACTAAACCCCAGAGAAACTCCTGTTGCAGGGATATGTCTCCATTATTTTCAGCTTTGCCCTATATATCTATGAGAGTGTCTTTCATGTGAACTAGTTTTCCAATTCAGGCTCAACCTTCCTTTAGGTTCACTGCTTCAGAAGCTGTGAAGTTCCTCTTGGAATGTTTGTTTGGAAACCACATGGGCATCTTTTTCAATGAAGAACAATGTCAATAACAGGAATAAAAAAGCAGAACTGAATGTCTATATCAGTATCTTCAGCTCAGTTTAATAATTAATCCTCATCAAATATAGAACATCACAAGATGAAAGGCCCTCATTCAACAATGCTGGAAAACATCTGCAACAGATAATGAAAACGAAGCATTCCCTCTAGAGATAAAGCTACTGCATCTTAAACCTCATCCATCATTGTTCTCCTACTGTGAATTCAAACTCTCAAGTTTCACTTTCTAAACCTACTGAGTCTCCCCTCTACTCACACAATCACTTTTAATGAAAACTTCTTTTGCCTCATCATGAAATCTAGTCCTTCAACTTCTCTCTATTCTTACATTCAAATCTTGTTAAAAATTTAAAAACATTTGTGATGGTCAGAATTGTAAGATGGTCCTCAAGATTCCTGCCCCCTGGTAAACACACCCGCTATAATTTCTTCAAGTGTGTGGGCAGACCAATGAATATGCTGGGATATTATGAATGTGATTAGGTTACTAATCAGTCAACTCCGAGTTAATCAAAAGGGAGATTGGGGCTTCCCTGGTGGCGCAGTGGTTGGGAGTCCGCCTGCCGATGCAGGGGACGCGGGTTCGTGCCCCGGACCGGGAAGATCCCACATGCCACGGAGTAGCTGGGCCCATGAGCCATGGCCGCTGAGCCTGCGCGTCCGGAGCCTGTGCTCTGCAATTCAAGAGGCCACAACAGTGAGAGGCCCACATACAGCAAAAATAAAAAAAACAAAAAACAAAAAGGGAGATTGTCTTGGATGGGTCTGACTCAAACAGGTGAGCAGACTGAAAGAAAGAGCATCAGAGAGATGTGCTTCTGCTGGCCTGGAACGCGAGGCAGACAGGCATGTTGTGAGAGGAGGGGACTACATGGCAAGGACATGAACACAGCCTCCAGGTGCTGGGAGTGGTCCCTGGCAAGTAGCGAGCAAGAAAATAATGACCTAGTCCTACAGCCTCAGGAAATTGATTCTGCCAACAACCAGTGAGCTTGAGGAAGACCCCAGGTCACAGGTTAAGATCAGAGCCCCAGCTAACAACTTGATTTCTGAGAACCCACCTAACCTCTACCCAGACTTCTGACCCCAAAACACTGTGTCATAATAAATCTGTGTCACCTTAAGCTGCCAAGTTTCTGGTAATTTGTTACCCAGCAATAAAAAACCAATACAATAGTTTAAAAATAATATCCTCTTTCCAAGAAAGACAAATACCATATCACTTATACATAGAATCTAAAATATGACACAAATGAACATATCTACAAAACAGAAACAGACTCACAGACATAGAGAAGAGACATGTGGTTGCCAAGGGGGAGGGGAGGTCGGGGAGAGGGACGGACTGGGAGTCTGGGGTTAGTAGATGTAAACTATTTCATTTGGAATGGATAGAAAACAAGGTCCTACTGTACAGCACAGGGAAGTATATTCAGTATCCTGGGATAAACCATAATGGAAAAGAATATAAAAGAGAATGTATATATGTGTATAACTGAATCACTTGGTTGTACAGCAGAAATTAACACAACATTGTATATCAACTAGACTTCAATAAAAATAATAAATAAAAATAACATCCTCCTTTCCATCTGTGTCACTTCAAGAATAGCTTATCAGCTGATAAAATTGTAGCATGAGTATTTTCACAAAAGGGTGGAAAGAATTAGAAGCCAACAAGAGCATCAACTGCATTTATAACATAATTACAACTAAGCTTGACACTATTCTACAGGCATGGCTCAATTAAAACTCCCTAATCCTCTTACAGTTCTGACATCAATGGTCACATAAATGTTACGGTACCTCGATCCTCCAGTGGGTTGCCAGCAAGGTTAATCGTATGGAGTCCTGAGTTGGGATTATGTGCTAGAGCACTGGCCAGTTTATGTGCAAAATCTCTGCAAGTAAACAAAACAGTCAGATGAAATAACACAAAGTGTAAAACTGCTCAAATAAAAAGTTTAAAGCTAGAATAGCTAGGGTGAAATCTAAAAAGAGAAAAGCATTCTTTACAATATTAACCTATATATCATATATTTGTTAAGAACCAATCTATTTACCCTAGTTCATATCCTCATTAGAGAGTCTGTAAAGCCATAGCTAGAATATGGTTCATCTTGATCAGTCAAAATCTCATTCAAAAGAAAAAAGAAAATATATAATTGCCCCTTTAAAGACACACTGTAGGATGCTATTAGTAGTACTGTTTGGCTCCTTCATGACTTAAAAAACAAATTCTGAACTGAACCTGCTTTTCATGAAAAGTACAGTAGGCTATTCACTATATCAGTTCTAATTTCATGCAATAATCATGAATGCAAAACTGACTGCCCTAATCATTGAATTTAAAGGCTACAGTCGCTAGCACTATATTTGAACAAAAGTCAAAATCACTATTTCAGGTGTGTTTAACGTAAAATAACGCACTAAGTGCTATGATTATGAAACTGTCAACCCTCCTCACGTAGTAGCAGTAAAGTATTTACTCCAGCAGATTCAAACTCACCTGCCCCTGGTAAGGCTTGGGTATCGGTTACTGAACCACTAGATGAAGATTATTTAAGTGTGAATTTGAAAAGGGAGAGAAATGGCTAAAACAGCTCAAAACAAAGCAGTAACATCCTATGAAATGTATTATTACTATGACTACCATTAATGATACTAGTAAAAGCTAACGCAGAGCATCTATAATATGAAAGATACTTTTCTAAACACTTCCCATGTATTAATTCATTTATCCTTACTACCATATTCTATAAAGTAGGCATTATTATTACCTCCACCTTAAAGATGAGGAGACTGAGGCACAGAGAACTGAAACAATTTGCCCAAAGCCATCAGGTATCTGGCTCAAGGGTCCATGCTCTTAACCACTATACTTATGTACCCTCAAACATACCATGTGACACAACTGCAAAAGATGTTAGAAAATCCTTGACCTTCATGATAATGATGGGGATCACAGGGACTTTTTTAAAGAAAGGAATACTCTATATGTGAGTAGCCTAACGTTTTTCTCAAAACTATATATTAATTTTAGAGGAAATGGCAAAATGTTTTAAAGCAACACATTCATGTATTCAGGAAATACTCACGTTCTAAGTCCAGCGTTTTCCAACACCAGTTCTTCCAGTCGATTGGACCTACTCACCACCCTTAAGATTTGTTCGCAGACATCAGTGGACTATAAGAGAAAATATTCTTTGACCATGTCATAAGTCTAAAAATAATCTCACTTCACTGTCATAAATCTATGCAGATGCAAAGTTTTTGTTAAATAAATCATTCATTCAACAAACTATGACTCAACATCTACTACTACACACCCTCAGGATGAAGGTCCTGGGAATACAACATAGAGGACAAGGTCTCTGCCTTCAAGACTGTACCCTCCGGAAGGCAATCAGACAAGAAGGAAATATGCAATTATGATAGAAAAATAGAAATATAGAAATAGAAAAATAGAAAGGCCATTTTTGGTAGTGCTATGGGCATACAGAGGCGTATCTCACCCAATCCTGGGAAAACCAAAAGGAATTCCCAAGAAAGGGATACCCAAAATAATGAACTAAACACTGAGTGGTAGCAACAATGGTGATGATGACGATGATGAGACTTTCTTTACTGAGCTAAGCCCTTTACGTGTATTTCATTATAAAACTGCTAATTAAGTATTATTATTCCCTTTTTGTAGATAAGAAAATTAGATTAAAGATGTCATGTACTTTAAAAGGGAGGCTGAATAACCACTTGATAATCGTTAGGTATTACGATGTTCCTACTAGTAATCTCTAAACTAGGGTAAGGTAATAAGAAAGACTTCAGTAATTAATGGTCTCATGTTAATAAACCTCATGTTTACAAAAATTACGTAGTTGTAAACTTACATCTGTCAAAATATTTTAAATTCTTACGATATAATGTTAAATGAAAATACATAATTAAAGTAAAATGTTTAATAAAGATTACAACAATTGAACTAGGTAAGGTAGTAGCAAAAGTCTTGAGGGGACTATGAAAAATGAAGAATTATGCATAATTTTTTCTTTTAAATTTTTATTTATTAATGTTTTATATTTACTTATATCCTGCCTTACTCCAAAAGTAATTTAAAGTGGCTCCTGACCTTAAAATTATTTGGACATTAAAAAGTGATATTTAAATGTCATTATAATCTAGGGTCTATTTAAAGCCTTTATATTATTTTAAAAAGAGAGAGAGGAATCATTTTGTGTCATGCATACAAATGTCAAAGCAGTTTCTTTTCTTAAAATACCAAATAAAAGTATTATAATAGTTCTTTGATTTATCAGATCATAAATACCCAAGTGGATTAACCATTATGGGAACAGTATAAAATATAGCAAAAGTTCTCCAGTCAAGTAGCCTTTAGAAAAACTGACTTGGAAAAACCACCAAGTCACCCAGCATTTAAGGCTGTTATAATTCTTCTGTGCTGCTTGATCCCACTGGGTCTATAATGTTGCTTTCACACTATTCCTGGGCTTCTAATGTGTCCCACAGATTGATGAGGGGAGAGGAAAATTAATTCCAAGTGACCCAATGCCTGCAATTTATATTATGCTGACAGTGGTGATTTTCAAAATGGTGACCCCTTATCAGTATAATTCTTCACCTTACAATATACAACCAGAGGAACTGATCTTATTCTGTGTCATCATGATAAAAAGTGATTACTCAGACATGTTTTTGCAAAGATTATTCTAATTTCCAGAAACAATCCATGGTATCATTACCGTTCCAGGGCTACCTCAGAGCACCCAGAAAAGTAATTTACCAAAGCCAGGATGTGAAGCAGGGCTTTCATTTACCCATTGGGCATAATTACTGTAACAAAAGTTTTTTTTTTAAATGTATGAAAAGTGTGTCCAACTTTTCTTTAAGATGCCAGTAGGGGTGAGGAGTAATAAGGTGTTCATGATTACATTAATTTTGCTACTTTTTATTAAGTGCCAACTACATGAAAAGCATTATTTGCTACACCAAAGAATATAAAGTGATGGACATTTTAAAGAGATACACACACAAACCTAGATAACAAGTACATGTTACCATTACGTAGTCTTCTCCAAATGTCTACTTCATGTTCAGCACTACATTTACAGATTTAGGGGAAATTTTTTTTAATGAATTAATACAATGACTCTCTAAGACCTTGTATTTATTTAAAAATCAAATGTAGGACTTCCCTGGTGGTGCAGTAGTTAAGAATCTGCTTGCCAATGCATCGGACACAGGTTCAAGCTCTGGTCCAGGAAGATCCCACATGCTGCAAAGCAACTAAGCCCACGCACCGCAACTACTGAGCCTGCACTCTAGAGTCCGCAAGCCACAACTACTGAGCCCGCGCACCACAACTACTGAAGCCCGCATGCCTAGAGCCCACGCTGTGCAACAACAGAAGTCACTGCAATGAGAAGTCCGCGCACCACAATGAAGAGCAGCCCCTGCTCGCCTCAACTAGAGAAAGCCCACGCGCAGCAATGAAGACCCAATGCAGCCAAAAAAATAAAAATAAATTTTAAAAATAAGAAAATCAACTTTAAAAAATTTAAAAATAAAAAGTACAGTAAAAAAACTAGAAGAATCACTATAAAATAAAAAATGAACTAATCCAATAAAACAAATATGAAAATTTGGAACTAAGAGGACCCACGTACATTATCTAGCCCAACCATATCATTTTTAAATGATTTTAAAAGACCCAATGATGCTCAATGACATGCCTAAATTCTAAAACTGAGAGCGTTGAGCAAGACCTCAATTCTACTGCTAATTTAATGAGTCCAGAATCTTGGTCCTAATTGCATATTCAGCATATCTTCAAAAAAAAATCCCTCTATCCCTCCATTTAAATTTACAATACTGACTGCTAACTGGCTTCATAAGATCAGCATAAAGCATATGTCATATTTTTCCTGTGATACCTTAAGCTCAGGAGACTTCTACTGAGCAAGCAGCAATCTTAACAACCCAGAGAATTCATATAACTTGAGAGGAGGTTACTTCTTTTTACACTTCGTGTTTTAAAAAATTCACAGAAGGTGTAATGCCTTCCTTTGCCTCAAACAGACCAGGTGTTAGAAAATGTTCTGAGATTGCATACTGTAGAAGCCATCAAAGGGGAAAGTATCATTTCTTTCTTTCTTTTTTTTTTTTTTAATTTCTCTTTTTGGCTCTGTTGGGTCTTCGTTGCTGCGTGCAGGCTTTCTCTAGTTGCAGCGAGCAGGGGCTACTCTTCGTTGGGGTGTGCAGGCTTCTTACTGCGATGGCTTCTCTTGTTGTGGAGCACAGGCTCTAGGTGCACAGACTTCAGTAGTTGCAGCACACAGGCTCAACAGTTGTCGCTCATGGGCTCTAGAGCACAGGCTCAGTAGTTGTGGCACACGGGCTTAGTTGCTCGGCGGCATGTGGGATCTTCCTGGACCAGGGCTCGAACCTGTGTCCCCTGCATGGGCAGGTAGATTCTTAACCACTGCACCACCAGGGAAGTCCCTATCATTTCTTTTTAACTTTGAGTAACAAACATGGAAGAAATGCTAGTATTCTTTTTGAAAACTTGCAGAGAGATAGCCCAAAGACCATTTTTCATTTTTAAATACAAAATATTAAAACTAAGCACATTTGCATTTTTATGTTTAAATCTCAGTTAATAGATAAGCAGTGAGGGGAATCCTCAAATCCTGTCACTCCACTTCCTGCCATCCCGGAACACCCAAGAAAGCATATGAACACTTACATGCTTTGTCTGGCCAAGACTGAAATAATTAGGTGCATGTTTTCTTCCCTAAACATGTAAGGCAGTTAAAAGGAGATGCTGCCTGGGAGGAATAATGACAGAATGGCAGCACCGGTGGCCTGGTACTAATGATTTGGGACAACTTCCAAAAGTGGGATTTCCACAACCTCCTCATAGCTCTCTTGTGTCCCATTTTGAAAATCATGGGCTTAGGTGAATGTCTGAATAAACCAGGAAAACTGACTTGGTAGCAAAGCATTGTTCTCTCTGATCCCACAATCCCTGGGCTAATCTACTTCTCATTCCTCAAAATGGCTCCCCTTGTGCACCTGGAATCTCTGCTGGTTCAGTCCTGCAAATGGTCCCCATCCCTGCAAACAGCAATGAGAGACTTCTGTCCCCAGATCTCGCATCATGGCTGTCTGTTTGTTCCCTGGGAGGTCACCATCCGTACCTCAATCATCACTGACCTCAGACACCACCACCACCCCCGGCCGTGTAGCTGATACAGTTTCCATAATTCATGCTCCCCCATTTGTTCATTTCTCAGCCTCTTTGCTAATCTGATTGTGACATGCCTGTAATACGTTAGGCATTGTTAGAATTTCTATACACATTATTTACTCATCTCAATAACCTGCAAAATAGTTATATTTCTATGTCCATTCATTCATTCAACAAACTCATTTGACATCTATTTATTAAACCAATTTTTACTGTAGAGCTATTGAGCCACAGATTCTGATAAGACATGAGCTCCAACTAGCTCACAATAATAGGGATGCAGGAAACAGAGGCCCTGGAAGGTCAAGTGATGTATCTAAGGTCACACAGCCTTGTAATAAGAGTCAGAATCTGAAACCCAGATTTGTGGGTTTCCAAGCCCACACTCTTTTTGTCTGCTGCACTGGCTCTTAATAATCCCCAAATGATTTCTGCCTATGCTCATACCTATAACGCCTTAAGCCACTCCCATGCCAGGCAAGTGCAGAGAACCAGCAGGCTGGCCGCCAGCAAATCTCAACCCTCCACTTTCAATAGATCCATGTCTCAATACAAATCCTATCTCTTCACTTTTAAAATCTTAAACCCCCAGTTTCTATGACCTCTGAAAGTTGGAGGCTTGAATGTAAGAGTCTCCAATAAAACAACATCTAAATTATCTTCTGTGCTAAAATGAAGCAGCAGAAACCTAACTCATGCATAAGCATCTGTCCATATGGCTGCTTTGAATTTGCAAAAAAAAAAAACAAATAACCCAACAGAGCATCTTATTTCCAATAGTAGAACAGACCAAAACTTTGGCTCCCCTACGCCTTATGAAAACTAACAGATTTCACTTTGATTTCATTTTGCTTACGTATAAATCTGCCCAAAAACTCATCTAGAAAATTAATGTTAACTATCATAATTAAACCAGACCAACTCTACCTTAGTAACGTTTTCCTAAATTCTCAGGAAGGGAAGCTTTGTGGAGATGTAATTCAAGATAGGAACATAAAACCTGCTATCTGCAGCTGTGCAAATGTACCTTTAATAGTCTTTGCCAACAGAATGAGTGTGTACTGAAGGTTCCACTAAATGTGTCTTTCTGTTCATCATCTAAAACTGCCTGAAGCAGCTGAAAACATGAATTACTTCTCTGAAGCATCTCACATTACAAACTTTATAAAATGGTCTGCAGATCATTTATAAGAAAATATCCCCCTAAGAAATAACATGTACGCAGCTCACCAGTGTGGTAGAAAAACAAATGTGTGTTGTGTTTTTATATAATTATCAGGTTTTTGAAATTCAGCAAAGCTAAGCAACATCTTCAATTACTTACCAGTTTTAGATCCTTAGAGGACAGCTTAGTGAACCACTGATTGTATTCCAGAGCAGCAATGATAGGTATTAGGTCCCTAGAAGCAGAAACAACAAAATACATGAAAGTGCTCTTACAGTAGCCATATTGGCGCTTGACTTTTTAATCCATGACATCCCAGTTTACCTGTTAATTTCTATTATTTATAAGCACAACATTCAGCTATATCTATTTTGACCCCCAGACAACAATTAAATTCTCTAGGACAGACCTTCAGGATGATGTAAGCAGAATTCCTAAAAGTTGAAGGTAAATTACCTCTAGGGACTCTGATTCCTGTTTCCAAAGAAAAAGAGGTTGGTAGCAGTGTTTGTTTGAAGAACCTCCTTACTCCAAGAGAAATCATATGTCTAATTCCATACTGACAGGTCCTATTTCTTTAGACTGCTCCTTCATAAATTCTTTCACCATCAAGTATATCATATGCTCTCTAGCTAGAGGAGTTGATACGGCAAGCAAGGACAGTATCTAGCCTGATAATAAGTGACATCGGATGGGATCCCCAATGCTTACTGGCAAGCATCCCACAACCATTTGGTACCTTGCTTGCAGTTCTTAGTAAGGATTATAAACATGAGATAGCCCAGGTGTTTTGTTTGTTTTTTTTTGTCTTATGCTTCATACAAGTTCTTCAGCCATAGAGTGAAGCTATTTGTATCAGAGATCTGCCACCACACTATTTTTCCAGCCCCTAACTCATGCTCAAGCCAAAAAGCAGACAATTCACTACTCACCAAACATATTCAATTTCACAATCAGAGTTATCTTTTACGACGGTGTGGGGGGGGGGTGCCGGGGGGAAGAAGTTGGGGGGGAAGGAATAGTTAGGGTGTTTGGGACTGACATGTACACACTGCTATATTTAAAATGGATAACGAACAAGGGCCTACTGTATAGCCCAGGGAACTCTGCTCAGTATTATGCAACAACCTAAATGGGAAAATGTGTAACTAAACCACTTTGCTGTACACCTGAAACTATCACAACATTGTTAATCAACTACACTCCAGTATAAAATTAAAACTTAAAAAAATTAAAAATTAAAAAAAGCTGTGTTCAGCTACAAAAATCCATGTATCTTTCACTGTCTGTATCATAATCCTCTCCTCTATTAAGTTCCCCCAGGTCACCTCAACCAGCACAATATTTACACCTCTACTTAGCATTCATTTTATTCTGTCTTAGAGTATAGTTTGATGCTTAAACATCTATTCCTCATCACCCCAGGTTGTAAGTTCTTTGAAAACAACATCCCTGTCTATTTCAGCTTTGTGGCTCCAGGGAGGCCATATCAGTTTTACCCTCAGGGCATGACAAGCAGCAAATGAACAAATTTTTACTGAACTAGAAATGAAAGGCAGAAGGTAGAAAGAGAACTGAAAATCACTATTATTTCAAGCTTCAAGGTACCAGGCCCCATGCTAGGCACTTTACATTTAAATCTCAAACAACAGTTCCTTTAAATCTCAAACAACAGTTCCTTTAAATCTCAAAACAACGCTAGGAGGTATTATTGTTTACATTTTACAGATGAAGAAATAGATGCTCAGAGAAATACAGTGAAACTAGGCCAAAGGGACAGAACTACAGTCGAAACCCAGCCTCTGAAGCACGTGTGTGTAGTTTCATCAGATTTGCTTTAAAAAGTGAAATGAGCATCCACAGGTGTTAGAGAAAACGCCAGGGAATTGGTCTTAGTCATGTGGTTCCACGAGCCACCTTTTCCACCAAAAAGCCTCTTTATTAACTTTGCTAAGTTTTAGATTAAAAAAAGAAGTTTCAGATTAAAAAACAAAAACAACAACTCTTCCCATAGTTGTTTTAGGGTCTCCACTCTCTCATCTCTCTCCACCGACCAAGTGGCTCAGAACAAGCCCCGGCATTTCTCCATGACGTCTAATGACAGTTGCAACTTCTCTGGGAGTGAATTCCACCTTATAATATAGGGCCCCCCAAGCCCACAGTATCTGAGAGTTCTCACCTGGACTTCCCCATTCAGGAACTATGGCAAATCATTCTCATCTCATCTCCTTTTGTGGATTTAATGTCAAGTAGTGACTACACTTCAGAACCTCTTTATTGTATATTTTGTTCTGTCACTTGATGTGACTTGAAGTACAGCTGGCTTTTGTCCTATGAATTCATTTCCAGGAGTTGAAGGGCACATCAATAATAGAACCAGGTTTCACGTTAATGCAGTGGGTAAGACAGCATCATCTCTATATATGACATGCAAAAACCTTGAAAATAATATTCTGGTACACTAAAAGTCAAACCTAACACTTAATGACACCAGAAATGTTTGGAGTACAATATTAAATTTTAAAAATATACAGCATCACAGGTGCATACCTGTGTGATCAGAGCCAATGAGTGTAATTGGTAAAAACTACATATAAAATGATTGATATAAATGCTCACAAATACAGACACTGCTTTTTTTGTTTTTAAGAAGAAAAGTATAGCAAAATGTTACGAGAATACCTTGCCTGGGTGGTAGCATTAAAGATGATATGAATATTTTTCTAACAGAATTTTTGTACTATATTTTAAAATTTATCTCTAATGATCCATATTCATAATCTAAAAGAATCATAAAAGTAAATGTTCTATGGACGGTGTAAATAAAATTTTATTACAGAAAAAATGTCCATGAAGATGATGGAGACTCGTGCATGCTGGCATGGTCTGCCCACCGTGTTTCTCTAAATTATGTTAATGCCTAGACTTTTTAATGTTAAAAATAAATTAGAAAAGGACAAACATATACCGTAATTCATTCAATAAACATTTATTTAGTACCTACTAAGTCCTAGGTAGGGATATTAGGGTCTGAGGATTAAGTGATGAGTAAGGGCAGCTCTCCAGTGGTGGAGAAAGACCCCTCCTCAGCTATCTGCAGCACCATGGGAGACACACTGAAAAGGGAGCATGTTCAAAGTGCCCTAAGAACACAGGAGGACATAAGCACTTCATCCTGGAGCAAATGGGGAAGGGTCCACAAGGCTTGAGAGATAGGAAGGGGCCAACCAGGCAGGTAAAAGGGAAGAGAGTATTTCAAGTAATTAGGAAGAGCATGTGCAAAGGCATGGGAACTTGAAAATGACCAGCAACTCCATCCATTCACAGATCCAGCGAGTGCCACCCACAGTGCATGAATTGCTGGGTTGAGGCAACAATGAACACAGCAAGATAGCCCCTCCCCTTGTGATACTAACCACCCAACACAGCCTAGCAGACTGCTCAGAAAATAAAAGCAACTCTAATAGAGTGAAATAATCCCTCTGGCATAGGGGGAATATGAATACTACTGTGCAAATAAGAGAGATGTTAAAAAAAAAAAAAGCAGTCACAAAAGATTCTTATGGGAAGTTAGTGAGCCTTCTAGATGAGACACATCACCATCCCAGAAGAAATGGTCAACAGAGTAATGTATGGCTTAGTCAAAGAGTTTTTTTGTGTTTTTCTTTTTTCTTTTTTTTGCTGTACGTGGGCCTCTCACTGTTGTGACCTCTCCCGTTGCGGAGCACAGGCTCCGGACGCGCAGGCTCAGCAGCCGTGGCTCACGGGCCCAGCCGCTCCGCGGCATGTGGGATCTTCCCGGACCAGGGCACGAACCTGCGTCCCCTGCATCGGCAGGCGGACTCTCAACCACTGCGCCACCAGGGAAGCCCAGTCTAAGAGTTTTTATATCTAACGCCAAAAGCAAAGAAAAAAACAATGATACACTGGACTTTGTCAAAAAGTCTTGCTCAGCAACAGATGCTGTTGAGAGAAGGGTGAGACAACCATATTCTGGGAGAAAATATTTGCAAATCCCAGTTCTGACAAAGGACTTGGTATTCAGAACGTATAAAGAACTCTCAAAAGTCAGTAATAAGAAACAATTAACTCAATTTTTTTCAAATGAGCAGAAAGATCTAAACACACTTCATCAAAGAAAATATACTGAAGGCAAATAAGTACATGAAAGATTTTCAAAATTATTAGCCATTAGAGAAATACAATTTAAAGCCAAAATAAGATGTCACTACAAACCTACTGAATTGCTTAAACAAAAAAAAAGTGACAGTATCAAGTGCTGACCAGGATGCAAAGTGACTGAAACCTCATACACTGCTGCTGGGAATGCAAATGGCACACTCAAGGCGGACAACAGCATGACAGTGGCTTATTAAGTTTTATGTACATTTACCACGATCCAGCAACCTCAATTCTGGGTATTCACCCAAGAGAAATAAAAACTTTTATTTACACAAAAACTTACGTATTGGGTTGGCCAAAAAGTTCCTTTGAGTTTTTCCATAAGATGTTATGGAAAAACCCAAACGAACTTTTTGGCCAACCCAATAGCCTTGTTGATAAACAGCAGTATTCATAATTCTCAAAAATTGGAAACAACACAGAGGTAGATGTCGTCCAGTGATGTTGTGTGACACCAGGTTAGAAAAGGTAATAATATGGCTGCTGCTTAGCCCATTCTCCCTGCTCCCTCTTCCTCTGATCTGGGCCCCCTTAAATAGAAAATACACAAGACACTACGTAACTAATTTCATTTCTGAGAGTTCATTTTCTGGGACGGCTTTCTCAGAGCACAGTTATCAGTGAGCACATAAGCAAATCTTGGATAAATACTCAATTTGCATTCACATGCGTCTCCCAACTGCTGTGCTGATGTCACCTTACTGCAGAGAACTCTCTGCACTTCCCTGACGGGGGTCTGTGTCACTCAGGAACAATTCTTGCCCATGTTTTCACTAAGCACTGCTTATATCACATAATGATTATATTATACAATGTAGAAAGCTTTCCAAACACCCGTGCTAGTCACCTTGACTGACTTTCTCATGGTGGGAAGCGGTTAACAGCTTTTTGCCATCAGTTCGTGGCATTTATTGTATATCCCACTATGTTTTGCTCTGACTTCCTAAATGACTCTTCATTACCACGTGACGTCTGATCTGAAGTTAGCCTTGAAGAGTTAGGGCCGTTGAGGGAAGCCTCTCCTGAGGCAACCTCACAACACAGTACATTCTC